CTCCTAACACCCCCCCCCGCCGCCTCCTTCGTCGTCTCCTTCCTCCTCCTCCTCCTTGCCCGCACCCCCCTCCGCCCGCCCTGTGCGATGGTCCGAGCCGCTAACTCAACCTAGCCCGCCAGGCCCGGAGTGGGACAGACCAACGGGGAAGGGGCGGTAGGTGCGCCCCCTCTGCCCCGCCACCCTGGAGGGAGGGAGCCGGAGGGGGGAAGGAGCGCGGCGATTGGTCTGCCCGCCTGTCACTCCACCGCTGAGGTGGCCTTCTCTAGCGTCTCATTGGTTTCTCTCCCTTTCTTCTCTCTCCCCCCCCCCACTCTTCCTACCTAGCGTTTCCCCCTGCCGGAAAGGGGCGGGAAGGGCTCTGCCGATTGACAGAACATCCGGCCAACGGATAGAAGAGGCAGAACCTGCGAGGCGATTGTTGCCGTGTGATTGGCCGAAGCGGCCGTCAGTCACGTTCCGAAGCGAGAGAGGATTGGCGAAGACCGGCCGAGGGGGCGGTTCCTCCCAGCAGCGGCCTGCGCTGTGGGGGCAGCGCTGCTGTCACATCCGCTGGTCCCGGCTGTTTCGCTGCTCCCTCAGTGATTTCCTGAGGGGAGAGGGGCGGCGGCGGCGGCCGGGCCGCTCCCCGGGGCAGGGCTGCCTCCACGCCCTCGCCTCTCTCTGCTCGGTAGGGGCCTTCCCTGCCAGCCTCGGCCTCCGCGCCGGGCGGCTGTTAGCGGCCTGGACGCCGCTCAGGGCTTCAGCCCGGGGGCGGCCTCACAGCGGGCTCCGGTTCGGTCAGCCGGTATTGCGGGACAGAATCATGAGGAGAGGCAGGCCCTTCCCCCCGCTCCTCCTTACCGTTCGCGGGTTGAAAAAGCCGAGTGCGGCTTTGCGGGGGCGGGTCGGGGTGTAACAGGCCTCGCCGGTCCCCGGGTTGCGGGGAGAGGATCCGTGACACGCTCCGGTTTGCCCCGAGGACCATATATGGTGCCTCTGTACCGCCATCCTTCTCTCCTGGTGTTTCCACAGGGAAGAAACAAAAGCGGTGTATAGCCAGAATTGGTATTATTTCAGCTTTTCCCTATAAATGGTTATACAAGGAAATGAGAATACACTGAAAAAAAAAATTCAATCCGTCCATAGTTCTTAGCTTTACGCCACACACAGTATAGGGTCACGTAACGGTGGAGTGAGGTGGGAGAAAAAGGACAGGAATACTGCCATGAATTGTGAAAACAGAGGCCAGAGGCTTTGCAGAGGCTAGGTCCTTACCCAAGCTCTGGGAGGACTGTGCAACAAGACAGGTAGTGGGTAACTACCACTGCGTTATTTTATCAATCCAGTTTTCAATACGTGCTGTTTACATTCTCTCTCAGGAGCTGTAACCTTGAAGTCTTCACATGGCAAACTTTTATGAGGCCCTGTCCAGCTCCTTGGCTGACTGCTGCGATGCACAGAACTCAATTGCAGCTATCACCCGAGGACAGAATCATTTTCTGTTTTCTTTGGAGGTGCCGCCATTTTAGACAAAAAGCAGGGCATTTGGTGGTACAAGAGACATTTTTTCCTGTTTCCTGTATAACCATAAGATTTGGTGACAAAGTGAGTAGGGAACATAGGGCTGGGGAAAGACCTGAGTTTATACCCTCAGACTGTGAAGCAAGAGCAGCCCACGCTGTCCTGCCAGTGGTGCCATGTGCCACATGAGTGACCTCCCGTACTGGTAACATGGATCTGCCTGCCTCATACTGCTTCTCAGCCTCTCTCCGAAATCCCTCTTCCATGCTCTTCGGGGATTACGGCTTCAGCAATAAAACTAGAATTGCCCCACGGGAGAAAAAAAAAGAAAAAAAAAAGCCAAGAGACCTTTGCCTTCAACAGGAAAGGTCCCGATTATCCCGCTGTGTACGCAAGCTGGCAGAGGCTGCTATTTGCACCACTAGAGAAACAGTTTCAGAAGATGACGTGCGAGATGTGGAACAAGGCTATACCCTCTCTTTGACCCTGCATAATCATTAGACCTATTAAGTCATCATAGCCAGCGTCCAACCTACACTTCTTCTTGAAAAGGTAACAAGAGGTAACAAAACCAATACCAAAGAAACTTCTTATGTGCCATGATCGGCCATACTCTTTAATATCACTCTGATTTTAACACCAAATCTACAGCAGACATATTCAAAAGACTGTCTCACCTCAGAAATGTCATAAACCATTTTTAATAACCTTGATCTTAACATCCACCAGATCTTTAGCAATGAAAAACCAGCAGGAAAACATAGATCTGTTACATTTACTTATCAAACAACTCTTCTCAAAAGAAATATACATAAGTCATGATGGCGTTTTGACATCATCCACTAAAATTAAATTAATAATAAAAATGAGTTATCATGTATCTTTCTTCTCCAGATACAAAAGGGCCATCAAAGGAAGCTACTGATTAGTTTTAATTCAGAAGCCAGTCCTCAAGCAGCCCCTGGTCTCTAACAATCTGCCTTTTCCCTCTAGCCTTAAAATTAGCTCGTCACCCACACGCAGTTTCCATCACCATGAATCAAAACAGGACATTAGATGTGATCACTTGGAAACAAGATACGTGTTGTAAAAGCACATTGACTGGCAGAACTTAACAATATGTGATATTATCTCTCTGTGTCACTATGTGTTTCTGTCATCCCAGCAAAATGAGTGTAAATTCCGTTCTTCCTAAATACGCTGCAAGAGTTTTGGTTTGTATGTTCCTACAAGATGCAAAATAGTTTTCCAGAGGAAAGTTGCAAGTGCATGATGCTATGTGCTGAGATGCTGAGGGGAGGCAACTCACGTCATATACAGCCCAGATACCAGCAATATTTGGGAAACGAGAACTATATGGTCAAGCATTCACTAATCCTACCCATAACCTGCTTTGCCCATATCAAACCAGAAGGTTTGTATGTTCCTACAAGATGCAAAATAGATTTCCAGAGAAAAGTTGCAAGTGCATCAGATGTACTGAGATGCTGAGGGGAGACAACTCAAGTCATATACAGCACAGATACCAGCGATATTTGGGAAACTAAAACTATATGGTCAAGCATTCGCTAATCCTACCCATAACCTGCTTTGCCAATACCAAACCAGAGCAAGGTGTGGTGTCTGTTCCTACCATCATCCCGCTTTTTAGCTCATGTCACCACCAAAGACATCCAGTCTCTTCCTAGGTTCTTTGAGAGAAGGTTCACCACCTCCTTCCTTTCCCTAAAGTTCCTCGTGATGGGCTTCCTGAGGGAATCTGGAAATTCATTGCTAGACGCTGCTGTTAAAGTAGTGGTTTTGAATTTGGCTTTCTTGTGGCACTCAAGGCATCTGAGCTTCAGAATATGGCCCATTTCATTCATTATTAGCCAAACGGGGCCAAGTTCCAAGGGTCTGGGTGCCCTGATGCGTGGAACAGGGCAAAAATATAAACACATTGACCTTCAGGAGAATTAACTAATAACTTTCCAAAAGCAGTGGACACAGCCACCCTCTGCCCTGTGAAAGCCACCTAAACCCCTCGGAACAGATGGACGTTAAAGATTACCAGCATTTAGTTCGAGGTGGACAGAACTCAATGGGATGGGTGATAAATGTCCTAACAGCATTTAGTATTTATTCTATGTGATCTGAGTATCTTCCAGTTAAACAAAGCCCCCAATATTACTACAGTTTAAAACCGAGTAAAGAGTTATTCTTATTCTGCAACAACCTACTGTTACTAATCTTGGGCTTTTCTCCATGGCTACCACATCAAAACAGGAGATAAAGATAAAAGAGAGAATTTCTGCCAATGAAATTTAAGTCCATCTCTCTGAAAAAAAAAAAAAAGATACTAAAAAGACAATACGTATGTTCAATGCCCTGCAGATTCTGAAATTTTCACGGAGATTTCTCTGCCACTCTCTCTTGCAGACTCCCCATGTTTATTCAGTGTAGGGTGTGGTGGTGTTTGTCTCATGCAGAAATACCAAGAATTGTAAATTTCTAAACACAATTGTTTTCCTTTAAGAAACACCTGCGTTTGTTAGTGTTTCTCTCTCAAAGAAGTATTTCCTTTGGTAAAATACTAATTTTTCTCTCTGGCCATTTCAGGAACAGTTACAACAATTAACTAGTCCTGCTCCCTGAGGTTTCATGGCCCATCCACTGCTGAGGATGTGAGAAGCTTTCTCTGAGACACCAGGAACCCACATGCAGGACACCCATCCTTCACCGCACCAGCTATCAATGGGAGCTGAGCCCCACTCTCACCCCTCCAAAGGCAGGAACGGAGACATTCAAAGATTGACTCTTGGGGAACATTTCCAAGGTAGGGATGTTACCTTTCAGAGTTTCCCTAAGGTTTTCCTGGCATTTATTCTCCATAAAGAGGAGTCTCATTAAGCCAGAAACCTGAGGTTCTTGTTGTCAACGAACCACTTTAGAGCCAGAGTAAAAATCCACTCTAAAAGAGTGTAGAAAAGAATGGCTCCTGAGATTTTTTTTTGAGGCCAGCTCCTGACTTGGGGAGCTTGAGGCAAGCTCTAGGAGGGGACACTGTCATTAAAACCTTTGCTCTCCATATCGTGAAGACACCAGAGTCTTTCCTATGAAATGTAAAAACTTCAGACTCCACAAACACTTGTGATTGTTCCAGCCCACGCTGTAAAGGTGCCACAGCAGCACAGAGCAGCAGTCAAAACAAAATAGGAGTGGAAAATAGTGACAACATTTTGTCACGTAGTAATTGTCAACTCAGGGCCTGCTTGCTACATACACACACGCACACACACACTCACTCAGAGGAGAGTTTACAAGTTTGCTGTGGTTTAATTTGCTCTTGGGCATAGCTTGGGACTGTTTCTAGAATAAAACCTTTTGGTGCAGCAGATAGCTTGGGAAAGGATTTGCCTCTGGGAGCAGGAAACAGTTTTAATCCCTCCCATGTCTCTTGGAGAATTTTTTAATTTTAAAGCATTGATAATTATGCTAATTAGAGCTTACCCCCAAATGACAATGGAATATAAATGTTGACAGTAGCTAAAACATACTGCAAATGTGCAGCAAACACTTCCTCCAGAGAGTCATCTACATTACATGATAGCTCAGCTGGGAAGAAGGGGAGTTCTTCACATGGAAAAGGAAAGTAACTGTATCTCTGATCCATGTCATCCCAAGGTGGCACTTCTAGACTTTCCTGGATAGCCATGAATCCACTGTTACTTTATGCCTTGGGAATGCTTTCCCACATAATATGTGTTAATATGTCCAATTTAGTTCTCAGGCAAACCTGAGCCTTTCCCTTAAACTGAAGACCCTGGCTCCAAAAAGGGATTTGAAGGGAGCTGTTGAGGAGCTTGCATTGCTTGCTGGTTTGAAACTCAAGGACTGAATACCTTTCAAAGTTCTAAATTCTCCACGTGCTTTGGTAGAACTTCAAAAGGAACTCAGGAATATGTTGCCATAAAGTAGTACTCCTTAAGTGTTATCCTGCTTCTGGTAGAGCAATCAAAGCAGGCTCCTAAGTGGGCACTCCTCCTATGAAGAGGAGAGAAACACGGCTTGGATACCCTGTGGTAGATGCTGGACTTTAGCACTCACTCCTTTTTGGCTTTTCCTGGACCCATGTCTCCAGATATGAACCTCATTTTATCTTCTGGTAAGAGACACAGAGAAGTCAGCCTGTGTACATTTGTTATGCCCAGTTATGGGGTCTTGTTCTCATCACAAAGCCTCTGTTTGGTCCTGCAAGCACAAGGACCCTCCATGCTAACAACAAATACATAATACATGAAGGTTCCTCAGTACTTCTCCTGCATTTTTTTCAGGCACTCTAAAAAAACCAAATTCTTCTGAAATCTTAACAGGAAAGAACTTACAGAACAACTCCGCTTACCAAAACCCACATGGAAAAAGTTTTAAAACCCTAAACAGAACCTTTTTACCATTTTTAAATTATGCTATTTTAAATATTTAGTGATTTTTTTCCTCTAGCTCAAGCCTTTTTCTTTTTTTTTATTTTATCTAAGCATTATGAACTTCCATCCAAGTAGTACTGCCGTTACTTAATCCAGAGCCTTTAAAGCACATCAGGTTGGATGCCTGACCACAGAGCTTAAACCTCTGGAGATAGCACAGACAGAATGTGTTGCATGACTCTGCCTGAAGCTGATTGCCTTTAGTTCCCAATAAAGTTCATCTGAGATACTTCAGACACCTTGCGGTCTGTAGGGAGAACACTGTGTACTTGCTCATTTATCTCAGGGACAAAGCACTGACCTTGCTAAAACACTGGATTTGTTGTGTAGTCCCAGCTTCTCCAAAACAAAGGTTTTGTTTTCAGCCCAATCCACTGGTAAGAGCACCCGATGGGTGCCATATGGGAGGTCTCCACATGGTTCAGTCCTAGTGTAGGAGACAGAGCGGCTGCTTGAATCCACAATATCAAAGGGTTAGTTCAGCTGCACAGGTCCTATTAGTCCAAGGAGTAGAAAAATAGATGGATTCCAATAGATCAAGCTGACTCCTGAAGTTTTCCCTTGGAATCACAGACCCTTGTATAGCTAATTCCAATCTCCTGGCAATAAGCTTCCTTGTCTTTGTGATCTTTTACAGACCCCTTCAAAGCAGTGCACAGGATTCCAAGGGCTCATGGCCTATGGGTTGAAAAGCCCTAGAAAAACAGAATGCCTGTGCTTATTTTTCTGAAGATTGCTTGTTAGGTTTCCCATCAACAGCCGTAGGATGAAATCTTGGCCCCAGTTGAACTCAACAGGAATTTTGCCACTGACTTAAATGGAGCTAAAATGTCACTCCTGCTATTTGGCAAGTCTATTACATCCAGACAATGCTGTAACATCTGGCTTCAACCGAACACACAGAAAAGTTTCCTCCCTTAGCCAATGTCCTGTGTTGTCTTCAGAGACTATCTCAAGAAAAATGAAAACTTTGTTCTTGGCAAGTTTCTTGTAAGAAAGAGTGGATCCATCCAGTGACACTATCAGAACCAAATCCCTGTTCTTTAGCATATAGTGATTGGCAATAGCATCAATGGATCCCCTGTCATTTTCTGGGAAGAAAGTCAAAAGCGCCCATCTACTGTTGAAAGTCATTCTGTTGTAAAAACTTTGTTTATAACAACAGATCTGTCCTCGTCTGTGGTTTCCCACAGTTGTGGGGGGTTTTCACCCAATTCATCTTCTGTTTCCCAAGCCACTGGAAGGTCCCTCGCTAGGTTAGACAGATGCTGTTCTACATAAACCTCTCTCTGCTTATGGTGATCAAAGGTAAGGCTGAAGGATAACTGATTATAGAAGAAAAACTGATGTGAACTGGTTTTCCTCTCTAAAAACCCAGCTGAGACAAGGCATTATTGTTCCATTGCAAACTATTCAGGCTAGATCAACCACAAGTGGGGTACATCCTTTCATGGCAGAAAAGAATAAAGGTATAGTGTTATTTGATCAATGGTGACTTAAAAAAATCTATTTGAATGGGAAGAAAAGGGATGTACTAAGAGAAAGGCTTTTATGCTTACAGTAGACAAGGATCTGCACACTGTTGTTCCCTGCTCCGAGGGCTGGTGAGTTACAGTACTGCACACCTGGGCAAAACCAGCTTCCTTCCATCTCACTCCATCCCCTGGGAAGCAAAACCAAAATCAGTCTCCAGTATCTGATGAGCCTTAATTCCCAGCACTTAAATAATTAGCTTCTCAAATGTACGAAAACAACTCTCATTTTCTGGATTAATGAAGGAAGCTGGGTTCCACTGAGCAAAGCTATTATGGAGCTGCTAATGCACGGGTTGATTTCATCGCCTGCCACTAAGCACAGAGCGATGTGGGCTCCTGGGAGAGCAAGAATACAGGGAGAGTGATGCTGGAGGGTTAAAGTGGAAGGCAGTAGGGGAAACCCTAGCAACACTTTGTGGTTTTGTGCAGAGGGAGGGCTGGGTTTATTTGTGTGTCTGCTGAGTTTTATCTGGGTTTGTGAAGATCCCACGTAAGCCAAAAGAAGGCTAAAGCTCAGGGAGATCCTAAGGGGTGGATAGTTTGCTTTAATCACAGACCAGGCAATGGCAGCTTCTGAAGCAGGGTAACAGAAATGTAGCACATGGAGAAGCCTAGACTTTAGGTAGCTTTGCAGCAGCTTCTGCCCAGGCTCTGTAGCTAGAGCAGCAGAGAATGGCAAGAGCTGCACTGCGATGTCTTTTGCAGTTGGAAGGCTACAGCAGTACTGGAATGTACATGTCCTCCCTGTTTGTTTGGTGTATGAGTTGATAGGAAACTGGTTGCAAAGAGTCAATCTCTTCCTTGCCTCATCTTGGCAGGTTACAGGCATAGAAACTCTTCAAAACAAACCTCTGTCCTTTCTTTTCTATTTAGGCACAGGACTGGTGATTTCATTTCTCCTAACTGGAGAAGGGACTGAGAAAATGTCCCAAACGACTGCAAAGGCTGCTTGGCTCTGTCCTGGGAGATTTAATCCTAGGGCATATTACATGAACAACTCCACAGCATTAGGACTGTTCCCTTCCTCTCTCTGTATCACTATTTTGCTGCCTTGCCCCAGATTCTACTTTTTCACACAGGCAGAAGCAAAAGCCCACACTGGACCTCTCTTTGTGGTACATCGAATGGGGAACAGAGAATAATTAGGAAATCGGGGCTTTTGAGCTGTAACTACAGCTATTCAACAAATGCAAAGTCATGCGACTTCTCAGAAAACAGGAGATGGAAAGGCCTAGAGCAGTTCAATTCCTTAGATTCTTCAACCATCAAAAAGCCCTTCAGTATGGGTCATTAGTACATCCAAATTAGTGGACCTGCAGTTCTGGATGTGGAATTGGGGCTAAACAGCTTTTTACATTGAAGTTCTTGTAACAGCAGTACAGTCAATATGCCCTCAAGCAGAAAACATCTGTCACACCCTGCAAAAACACAACAAAACACAACTTTGACCTCTGTAAGAAAAGCCTGAAACTGTAATGGAAGCCCTGGGTCAATAAGGAAGCCTTGGAGCAGACATGCAGTGGGAATTGAGAGATTAATGAGGAAATCAATGGAATTGTGATGGTTCATGCAGCAAACTTTTTTGTTTCATAACCTGACTTTCGGAGATCAGGACCAAGGACACTAGGGACCTGCAGATGCTTAAGAACCTCAGCACCTTCCCTAAACAGTTTTCTAGAGGTGGCCACTCATAATTAAGCATCTTTGAAAATGCAGAGATGCTGCTTCTTAAGTCAGGGCTTGTTGGACCGCTGACTTCACAGGAGCTACATCCCATGTAATTTAGCTGAAACAATCAGGAAATAATTATGTACAGTGTAGAGTTAAAAGATGGTGATTAAACTGTACAAATAAATAACTGAAGTGACTAAAAAAAATCCACCCGAAGCCTACTTATTGGAGCAGTATTTAATGTAAATGAATCACTTAGTGGACAATGCAACAATCATCTGTTCAGCTTCTATTCATTATCAAAAACAATACAAAAGGATTGGCAGGGAATAGCCATGTGCCAGAGGGAGCCCTTTAGGAAATACCACAGAATCTGGACTGGCTTTTGTCTGTTCTTCTATTGTGTTCTGACAATGCTTCACTAATGAACATCCAACGTCATTTTGGTTGTCCTTTTTTTAGGTTTTTTTTTCCCCCAAAACCAAATCAGTAGTAATCTTGGCCTTTCAGAACGAACTGAAATGCTTGTTCATGTTAGGAAGACTTCCACGCATTATGTATTGGATTTGCCAAGGTTTAAGAGGCTGAGGTTGTCTGGTCTCTGGCAGCCCAGGAAACCCCACAGTAGGTGATGAGGCAAAATCCTTCCATTTAGGCAAAAATCCATTAAGTTTTAAAGATATCATCACCTATCTTTGAGACTTCAAATGCTTAGTGAATTCAGGACTTAGCGAGTTGTATAATCAGTAAACTCATCTTCTGTTACTCCATTTGAAATGACACTAACCCAATTCTGTGAAATAAGCTGTTTTTCAGTAGGGTGCGTTTGTACTTAACGTGCGCAGCATTATCTCGGGAGTTACCTGCAGGAAGCTGTCAGCTAAAGGGGATCCCCATTAGTGATCTGTGGAGGTAAACACGCCAGGCACACACCTATCCTAGAAGAAACAGAGGCTCAGGAGACAGTATCAAGCACTAAAGTACTGTCCTTATGCTTCAGAAGTAATGATCCACTGGCCTTTGGAACATCTGAAAGTTCAAACTTGATGGTGTAGCAGGTACCCGTAGGGTTACCCTTTTCTTACCTGGATCCTTGGCTCATTCCTCCGTCACTGCTGCAACTCACAGCTCCCACAGTGTTGCTGGTTCAACTCTCTGCAGACCCGCCATGTAAGCCACATCTCTGAGACCTTCTGAATTAAGAAAAAAGGGCAACAATGATACAAAATAGAGAAGAGAGCAGGGCAGATAAGCAGGCTTTGCTGCCGAGCGAAAGGCACGTGGAACTCCACCCGGTTTTAACTTCTCAAGGTTGTCTCCGAGGTTGTTTTATTTTGTCTTAAAACAAAATCTTAGGCTCTGCAGCAAATTTCTTCAGCCAGAGATTATTTTTGTCATATTCAGTGACAACAGAATATGTGGGTTTCTAGTTAACACTATCTAAATTTCGAGATAGAAATGCACACTTCATAAAATCTTGCTACTAGCTCAGTCTTCCAAATAGAAGAGACAGAGATGGCACCAAACCCCCTAGGGCATATGCTTGCAAAATCTCCACCAAGTTAGCTGCATAGCTTGGCTTGCAATTTGGGACTTTTACTCACAGCATGTATTCAGAATGGCCCATAATGAAGGTGGGACTCGAGGGGGGTGCTGCCAGCCCATACTGGGACCATTTATGATATTACTGTTTTCAGCTTCTTCCTGTCCTTCAGCTGGAGACGGTTACTGTTGAAGCAGAGGCTCCAAAATGGGTGGCATGTCTTCTCCATGGCCACTACAGTTCATTGCTTGGAATATTAATGCAACCTGAAATAGCTGGCAGTTTAGATTAATAGGCTGGGCTGAGAATGGTGACGCACAGTCCAGCCTGTCACCTCGGGTACTGGTCAGAGACCTCTGACAGTGGGATGGGGCAGCAACACCAAAAATAAATCTTCCTGGAACCGCCAGAGCTCTTCAAGAGGCACCATTAGTATCAAAGCTACTGGGGTCCTTCAGTTTGAGACACAGGATGCCCAGTACCTACGAGGCAGAACCGCCACGTAGAGTCATGAAAAAGGGTGGTTATAATAAAGCGGGAATTCCAAATGTTGCCCTTTGACTTAATATTTTTACCACTGGAGCTGGTTTGGGCAGGGAGGGACAACTACTCAGCTTCTGATAAACAATAGTTCATTTCGTAAGACCGCTGCCACCATTTGCACTAATTGACACTTTTTTTTTATAGCAATCCCTGTTAAAAGACAAAAGATCTCAAGTATCCTTTTGGAAGGAAAAAAAATCTTGATTATGTTAACACCCAGTATATTAAAGACATCATCCTAATATTGGGATACACTGAGGAGGAACCAGCATAATTAACCCCTGTTGTTTAACAAACTTCCCCTAAAATATCCCCAAAAATGTCTTCAGTAAAATTCTGTTCCTCCCTGCTCTGGTAAAGAAGGTTTAGGGTTTTTTTTTGTAAGTCCCTTGAGTGGCTGCTTAAGTCAGGTCTCACTGTAATTACATACCTCACAGCAGTGCGGGGAGACTTAATTAAGAGAGTCACTGGAGGTGTGTTGTCAGACAGATACAGCCTCGTCCTGTCGGAGGAGGGATTGGGATCCAGCTGCAGTGGGCAGGGAAAGGAGGACAATTAAAGTTTGCAGAGGGTTTTGAGATCCTCCTGCAAAAAAAAGCAGCACAGACACACCCAGCAGCCTTTATTCAAAGCCCCTCGACTCCATCATCAGGGAGTCTGTGGTTTTAAAAATCTCTCTGTACTCACCAGGAGACGCTCTGCCACGCCGCAAGATTTCATATTCTCCCCCTCCACAACCACCCTCCCTTCCTTCAAAAAGTGTGACTCACCAGTTTCAAACGATGACATTTCATTCCCAAACTATTCCGGGAGCAGCTGGCTCCATAACACATGGGGATGTGGGGAAAAGGGAGGAGGGAGGAAAAAGCCAGATTGCGAAGTAAAAACCACTCATTCTCTCCCCCACACAGGTAGGTTGCTTTTAAATTTCAGAGGCACGTCCTTTGGGACACCCTGGCAAACTCCATCAATAAAACAAGCATGTTTTGGGAAAAAAAAAAAAAATAAATAAAATAATCTGCATGCGCCAGTGATGCAATTCCCTCTCAGCTGGGAGGGACTGGGAGAGCTAAATAAATAAAATAATCTGCATGCGCCAGTGATGTGATGCCCTCTCAGCTGGGAGGGACTGGGAGAGGGGTTTGCTCTCCAGATCTAATAGATGTGAGGAAATGCACTGTCCCCACTTCTCACTCTTCTTACGAGTTTGAACCCCGCGGTTCTGGGCTGCTCCTTCAAACGGTTTCTCTTTGCTGCAGACCCAGAGTTTAGTCATCAGCAATATCTTACTTAACGACGACCAAATGTATGTGCAGTGGGAAGATGACAACGAGGGGAATGACAAAGAAATCACTTGTCAGCTCCCGGTCCCGAGAGGAGTTTTGTGTCACACTGCAGTTTAGCATAGCTCAGTGTCCCTGCTGCGGGGACGTCACTGCCATCGGCGTAACATCCAGCACGTGAGGCCAGGGCTGCTGCAGGAACTGGCCTTGTGGGCTCCTCAGCACGCACACAGAACCGCTGCCGCTGGTGCCGCGCCAGGGGCAGAGGCGTAATCTCTCCTGGCCTCAGACTATAAATCTGTGCCTGGCTGATTGGCGTCACAGCAGCCGTCCAGCCCCATTCATTAATGGTTGTAAAATTCCACGGGGAGGGAGCTGTAAGTGATGTCACCTCGCCGCCTCCCCGATGGCACCGTCCACACGCGCATCGGCAGCGTGTGAGGGAGGCAGCCTGGGCAGGAGGGCACGGGCACAACGGGCTGCAGGTAGCCCAGCGAGGGAGGGCATGAGCGTGAACAAACCTCATGGCTGCAGGAGAGAGCCCCAGGACAGACTGGGAAGGGGCCAGCACCGGATGGTGATGGTCTGGGTGTGCTGGACCAGGGAGTGCTGGGGGCCACCAGCCCGATTTTCCCCGCTCACGCCGTCAGGGACGATGACAGCACACCACCACACACCCCGCTGTGCCCCATACTCCACCAGCTAATAACCGCTCCCCGTTGCGTGTCTGCACAGGAAATGTTTGATTAACGATTTCATTCATCTCCTCTGCTGCCTGTAGAAAAGGGAAGGCTGTTCTTGTGGCTGTCTCTACCCGGCAGCGGTTTGGGGACCCTGCACTGGCACATTCCAGCCTTTTCCTATTCTTTACCTGGGGAAGCCTTGCTGAAATCAGTGCTCGTTCAAGGAAGAGGAGGCTGGCTCCCTGCGTGGTGCTGTCAGGCAGCAGCAATGACCTTGGCTAGCTAACCAGCTCCTGAATACAAAGATGGGTATAAACACAGCAATTCCCTTTTTAATTTAAAAAAAAAAAAAAACCAAACCAACCAATCTTTTGCTAAGGTAGGGAAAGGCAGTGGTTTGTTAAATAAATGCCTCTGTCAGAGCTGGATTTTTTTTTTTTTTTTTCCTAGCTTCCCTAAATGCCCTTCACCAGCAGAGAGGGGGAGGGGACCTGCTCTTTGAAGCCTTTTCCTTATGGGAATAGAAAACACGGAAAGAATTCAATTCTCTGCCACAGCCCAGCAGCACTGATACACGCTTCAAAAACCAAAGCCCAGCAGACAAGCTGGCTGGTGGGTGCGGGTGGCTTGGAGCCTGTGTTACCACCAGATTAGCCTTGCTCAATATCCAGCATCATTAACTGTCCCCCGTGGTGTTAAAGCACAGAAAGAAGAGGGGAAAGAATGGAGACCGGGAAAGAAAAATTCGGAAATTCCGTGCAGAAAGAGAACTGCCGTTATTCAACTCTTTGATCAAAAGCACCATCTAGTGAAGAAAAGCCTCACTGCAGCTGGCATCGCTCTGGGGCAGCTGCACCAACGACAAATGGAATTTGACTTTCACCACAGGTTTGCCTACTAAAAAAAACCCCAAATCTCACCATATGCACAGCCCGTGTTGTATCTGAGGGAACAAGAACATGCCCAAAAATGCTACTCTCTGTGTAAATATTTCTCCAGTGGAAATGCCTTCTCCTCCTCCCATCATCTCAGCCACCCTAAAACCCGCAGGGAACGAGGCACCACAGGAAGAGAATGATTTCCATGGTATAATTTGGGAGCTGAGGAAAAGAAAAGGTAAGTGACCGGTCCAAGGTCGTGCAGGAAGCCAGAGGCAGATCCGGGAATAGAGATCAGCCACCCTGGACCCAGGGATGCCTGAACAATAGCACAGCCTCTCCCTCTGTTGTCATTTAACTCTTTCCTAACCCACCAAAAAAGCAGAAGAGGGGTAAGATACACACTTCTCTGCATATGTGCCTGCTGCCTTACAGCTCTTGGGGGTCCAGCCCTCAGACCATACTTGATTTTACCACTCTAAATCAAGGAGGGAAGGCAGGAGGGAAAGATGGGGTTGGATATCCTGAGATCAGCAAAGCTGGAGGTAGGCAATATTTCTATACCCCCGGCCTGAGCTGTCCACTCAGCAATTAAAGCAATGAAACGGTACCTCATTTGTCATGTCTCCATTTCTGCGTGTGACAAAGCATCACTGTCTCCCCTGGAGGCGTTCAACTCGGGTAAAATGGTTGTGGTGTACGTTTGAGGATTGTCAGCTGCAGGAGGAGAGGATATTGCTCCCTCTTCCCTGGCTTTTGAGTCAGCTGCAAAGACCAGGAACTTGCAGCACAATAATACATCAGAAATGCAGTCTTGCTAAGTCTACGCTGTTTTCATACTGAGCTCGGAAATGCTGCAGTGCAGGGTCTGGAAAAGAGAGTAATTATAAAAAAAAACTGGAACCAAGCCTCCTAGAAACTAAAAACAAAGACCTGGGTTCTGCAAAAACCTGCGAGTGCAGTAAACTGAACCTACAGCAAAATTGTGCCTGAGAGAAGACCCGAGAGACCAGGGAGTCCACCAAGAGTTCTCCAAAAGAGGTTTGATGTCCTTGAGTCAGAGCCCAGTTCCAAACCAGACAATAATTGGTGCAAAAATCAGGACCATCTTCTTGGGGCCGCTGCCTGGAAGGGACACAGACGACTGATCTGCACAGAGCTGCAGGGGCAAAGAATGGAAAAAGCCCCAAGAAGCCTTTCTCTGCTTTCTACCCTAGATCTCTGTTTCTTTCCCTAACACCCAAGTCTGTTTTCATTCACTCCTACAAGCCCCAATCGATGCACGCAGGGAGGGGAGGAGGAGAGTCTGCACTCCTGCACCAGAGGCCGAGACAAGAAAATCTTTAATCATGCCACAGCCCTTTGAACATTTACATTTTCCAGCCAAAGGCACAGTGAAATTGGGAGCTTTCAGTTCAAACTAATTCAAGGATGTTTTCCCTGGGGAAGGTTTTTGTTACCCTGCAGGGATCTCTGCACAGATCTTTGCTCGTAGCATAAAGCAACCAAAGCTTTTCTTTAAGAGAGAAGCTACATCTTATACCCCTTGGAAAAAGGTGACAAGTAAGAGCCAGGAAGAACTAGAGCACAAAATTGCTGCCCTAGAGAATAGGGTTAAAAGGCTGTAGATCTGCATTCAGTGATGCTTGCAGTAAAGCAGATGTCACCAAACACAAGTGCAAATAGTTTCTTGACTTTAGAGATATTTTTTCCCCCTCAAAAAAGAGCTCCTACACTGCAGGAGGGCAGCAACAGAACAGCAGGATGTTTGTCAAGGAAGTAAAACGTTAAAAGGATTCCAGCCCTTTGCAGTTCTGGCTTGACACAGTGAGAAAGAGGAGATCAAGTGCTAATAAAAACAACAGGCACAGTTTTAGAAGTTCATACATTTTTAAAATGTGCACCAACATTTACCAGTCAGGCCTGGACAGTCTCCACGACAAAAGTCCTCAATTTAGGAGAGACTCCTCCCTAATGTTTTTAAGAAAGGCACCTTGACACAAGTAAGTCACCCAACTGCCATCCAGTGTTGGAATTAAATGATCTTTAAGGTCCTTTCCAACCCAAACCATTCTATGATTCTATCATGTGCAATGTGTGAAACAGCAGGTTTAAACCAACAGTGAATTCGTTGCTAATTGCCTTAGGTTAAGCTAAAAAAACAGAATCCCAGTCAAAGCAACAAAGCCAAGCCTTAGTTCAATGAATTTCCTTCTCTAATTGCGACTCCAGGCAAACCCTCTGCGCTGTGACTCACTGCTCACACAATCACTGCAGGGCACTCATTTCAATCAGCTTTGCCAGCACCTGCCAGTCTGGCGACAGACTATTCCCTGTTAAAATAAACAGGCTGGCAGATACCAGGTAAATATCCACAGGAGCTTGGACAGACCTCTCAGGCAACTATACTGTCCTGTGAGAAAGAGAATGCATTAGGCTGCGGCTCATCCTGCCCTGCTTTGGTGGGGAAAATGATCTGAAATGGCTTCTTCCAGCCCCGATTTTCAGAAGACTCAACTGACTACAGCTTCCAGTAAGGTTGCCATGACACAAACTACCACTTCCTGGGTTTTTTTTGGTTTTTCAATATCATTTGTATAAATAAAATTATTCTTTCATTTCATGTTGGTCCTGAAGACAAAAAATAAGGGCATTAACATCAGACCATTCAGAATGTGATCTTTTTAGGAAAATCTTGAATTCTTTTCTCCTTTTTCCTGAAATATCGATCCCTTACTAATGGCAAACTTACTGAAATGAAGTCAGAGCTTCAGTGCATTTTCCTTATTAAAAGAGAGGAGCAGAAAACTCTTATCATAAAAACTTACGATAAAACTGTCTTTCAAAGAGCTGACGTAAAAAGTCATCCTTTATCCTGCTGCTGTTCATGGAGAAAAGACATCTGGGATTAAGCGCTTTTGTCTCTGGATGATGCTGAAGTATTTCCAGCTCCTTCCCTAAGTGTATCTTCTGCTCGTGCACACCGTAACAAACAGATGGAAAAACTCTCTGGGATGAAGCCGTGCACCCTTTCCTTCCTCAAGAAAAAAGCTCCTTATGCCACAGAGTCCCCAAAGGCCTGATCAGGTTTGTGCTCCAGCCTGGCAATGCCCTATTGCCCATTCTCAGTGCCATCACCTCAAGGAGGAGATGTAAAGCTACAGAACCTGTAGCACATTCAGGCCCCGTTTCATCACAAACCGAAACATTTCCACACCACCACCGCAGCCTGTGAGCATCACTGCAAAGAGCGCATTTAAAAACAGAGAAATCAGATTTCCCCCATTACGACTTTGAAAGGCACTCTGCAAAAATGCCTCTTTTCCTCCTTTTACAAGAACTTGCTATTCATTCTTTCTCAAAGTCACGTATTGCAGTCTCACTGCACTTTCTCCATCTTCAACTTTCACATGGAGATGTCAAAGAAAACAGACTTTAGGTCAATGTAATCAGCAACATGCACATAAAATAACGACCATTCCTAGCTCCTCAGAGACCCTGTCTGGAGGCCAAATCGGAAATTACAAAAGACTCCCCCAAAACAAGCCACAAGAGACAGCCCACCCAGCTCAGCTGCTTTGGAACAAGTGAATTTCTGTCTTGAGTCTGACGGTAAAAATTAGCCTGAACCGCAGGGGTTTGGTGAAGCCCACCTGCATCCACCGATCTGGCCCCCGTCCCCCCCATTTCTGTCCCTCCCTCGCTCCGGGGACAGAGCTCGGGCACTCCCCACCCGCTCCGGCAAACCCCAAGGAGCAGCCGGGCCACGAGCGACCCTGGGAGGAGGCAGGGGATAAGCAAGGCCCGTGGGAAGGGCCGGAGCCCCGCTCCCTGGGTGCCACCCCTCGGCCCTGGCGCTGCCCCGGGCAGGACGGGCCCAGAGGCTGACCCGGGCGGATAGGCCCGACGGGCGACAAGAGATACTTCCGGTTGGCGCGGCGGAGGAGCCGTCTGTCATTGGGCGCGTTGGCGGAAATCCCGCCTCCTCTCCGGGCGGCGCCTCAGGCGCATGCGCGTGCTGCCGGCACTTCCGGCGGTGGCCATGGTGACGGCAGTAGGCAGGTAGGGCCCGGTCTCGCTCCCCGAGGCCTCCCGCTCCCCTCAGCCCCGCTCCCGGCCGCTTCCCGGCGGGGAGGCAGCCCCTCAGTGCTGGCGCCCCCTTCAGGAGCGAGCGGGGCTGCTGACAGCTCGCTGTCGGCCTGCGGCGCCCCTGCGGCCTTGCCCAGCTCCGCCCGGCGGTGCTCTCCCCGGGGGAAGCCACCGGGAGGTGCGGCGGGGGCTGCGGGTGCGCTCCTCCGAGCGGTGGGCGGCTGGCAAACGTGAGAGCCTGGGCGAACCTGGCCCTCATCTGTGCGCAGGGGAACCCTGGGCTCTCGAGTACATAGTTCATACCGCACAGCTATTACATACATATCTCTATATAAATCAGGGTGGGGAGAGGCAGTAAGCCGGCTCTTATTTTCTTACTATGATTCTTCATCTGGTAAATGTCTGCAAAATATTTTTTCCGGCACAGCAAATGTTTTCATTTTTGAATTAATGCCACTTTGATTTACCTTCTTTGCTTCACAAACACACCGATATAGGATTTTGGAGTGGGAAATGAAGCTTGTAACTGAATAAAAGTGGCAGGAAGATTTCAGATGGTTCCTCAAGTCCAGTCTGTTTTTTGAGTGTTACAAACATATTCCCCCCTCCCTGTACTATGGGGCAAGGTGGTTGTTTTGCGTAACAATTATGTAAAAATGCAAGCAGGGTGCTGTTGAATGACTACTGCACTTCTGTGGCAGTCTTCATAATACCAGCTGCCATAATTTCTTTTAAGAATTCCAGTTGGGTTATTGTATTCCTCCTCCTGAGCGCCTTCTCTGTTTTCCTTTTGAAATGGTTGTAATGCAGTGAGGAGCTCTGTCCCTGCATTCCTTCTTAGGAGTTTTACTGCTTTCTGATGACCTCAGTGTATTTTTTACATTGCATTTACTGCTCATAAAGCTCGCAATGGAAGCTGATTATACAAGCATGTAAGTGCACACTGGCATTTCAGTAATTCAGTTGTTTGAATTAATGCAATCACTGTCTTTTCTCATTGGGTTTTGAATGAGTTTTTTGAAGTTTAACTTACCATTTATGGGCATCTTATGCATCAGAAAAATTGTCACCAAATTTCCCATTGGCTTATATTAAATCACTGACTTAATAGACAATACTATAGGATTAATTTATTTTTTTTCCTGGCTTAGACGTCTATAAGTTTGATTTCAGTTTCTTTCCAAAGCAGTTGGGGCAGTAAAACTGTTTAGCTATTATAAAATGCAAATAATGCTCGCTTTTCTCCTTGTCAAACATGGCTTTAAGGGATTTAGTGAGTTTGGTTTGCTGGAGGAAATGCCCATTTCCCCAGTAAATACCGGGTTTTGATACAGAGTGTGATGAGAAACTCATCCATCCGTTCAGTTGTGCTCAAAGTTCTCAAGAATCCAAAGGGAAGAAATTAAAAGTCTGTTTGCTATTAATTAGCATGATACCTATTTTAGAATGTGCTCTATAAAATCAGTATATGCCCCAAAGCTAATTACAGTAATAGAGAATTGCAGCTGATTCACAAGTTGCCTTTTTTCTAACTTCCCCACCTAGAGCGTGGACAGACTGGTATTGATCTTTATGGATGCTCTGGATTCAATACTAGAAATTTTTTGCTTACTATTAAAAATAATCAGAGGGTCATTGTAAATTTTGTTTCGTTTTGAATTCACCTTTATCTTTTTAATTAAATTACCCCCCCGTTTCAAAGGTCACAGACCGTATTCCTGAGGTTTGTTTTTAGAGGCAGTTCTTGGCCGTGCTAGCATTGGACAGAGCGCGTTTGCTTGGACTCCTGCCATTTCCAAATTTAAGTCGGGTCTGTCCCGTTAAAAGACCGGAGGGAGACACCATCTCACAGAGTCACTGGCAAGCCAGTTCTTTTCAAAGGTAGGATATTGTGCTTTCTTCAGACTAAAGTTGGTAGCTAATCAAACTTAAAGCTGCTGTGCTTCTGGACAAGGGCTTCCTTAGAAAAAATAATTCTTTTTCCTGCCTTTTATCCCCCCACCTTTTATATGACACCTTTTGATTTCTGAAAATAGCCTCCCAGTTGCTGCCATTTGTCATGTAAAGGACAATGTGATTCTAGGTGGCTGAAGCTAAAGGAGAATAGGTGTTGTTTAGGGAAATGATCGTTTTTAGTTTCTTTTCGGAGTTGATCTCACCTTTGCTGCCTTTAGTGCGCTCCTGACCTTATTAATGAAGATCCTTGTTCCTTCAGAAATCATTGTCCTGGCTTTTATGGGATAACATCCAGTTTTATTTTAAGAGGAAAGGTTTTGGAGTTTTTTGTTTTTGTTTTTTTTTTAAATGGATTTACGTGATTTATTTTATGGTAAGCCTTTCAAAAAGCTTCAAATCACCTATATTGCTTACATTATCGGTGTCCTTATTTCTGCTGTCTAATAACCAGGTTGCTCCAATCCTGCCTTTTGGGATGGAGAACTGAGAATTACAGGCCTTTATTTGAGCCGATTATGAGCAGTGTTTTATATGACACCTTTTGATTTCTGAAAATAGCCTCCCAGTTGCTGCCATTTGTCATGTAAAGGACAATGTGATTCTAGGTGGCTGAAGCTAAAGGAGAATAGGTGTTGTTTAGGGAAATGATCGTTTTTAGTTTCTTTTCGGAGTTGATCTCACCTTTGCTGCCTTTAGTGCGCTCCTGACCTTATTAATGAAGATCCTTGTTCCTTCAGAAATCATTGTCCTGGCTTTTATGGGATAACATCCAGTTTTATTTTAAGAGGAAAGGTTTTGGAGTTTTTTGTTTTTGTTTTTTTTTTTAAATGGATTTACATGATTTATTTTATGGTAAGCCTTTCAAAAAGCTTCAAATCACCTATATTGCTTACATTATCGGTGTCCTTATTTCTGCTGTCTAATAACCAGGTTGCTCCAATCCTGCCTTTTGGGATGGAGAACTGAGAATTACAGGCCTTTATTTGAACTGATTACGAGCAGTAGCTTCTCTCCTGCCGATAACCTGGTGTCATAAACATTATCTGTTAAGAAGTAATAACATTATTTTTTTAGCATGAATACACAAAGTTTTGAACAAAGGTAATAGTGGGGTCTCAGGCCTTAGAGCAGGAGGTTTGAGAATATCCAGTTCATCTCAAACTAGGTGTGGAAACCCGTCTGTTCCCTGCCCTCCCCCATGTTTTTAATGTGACATGGCATTATCTGACATGTCTTCAGCTATGTCAGAGTGTTACCTACCTTAAGTTGCATTTTATGCTTTTTATCTTCTCTTCCCAGCCTTTGACTTGCAACTTAGTAGTTTTGTTGATCAAGTCTTTTTTTTCCCTTATTTTCCCCCCTATGATCTGTCTCATTCTCCTTCAGATTGCAGCAGTTTTTTTCCCTCTGGCTTTTGCAGTGAATAACCCTAATAATGAACAGAATATAACTTCTCCTTCATGTTGCAGCAATTCTTTTCTTTGGTTTTTGCACCAAATAACCCTGAAAACTGAACAGAACTGAACTGCCACCCTGTTACGTCAGTAGCCTGGCACTGAGGTCTGTAAGATGGATGTAGTTGAACGTTCTGCAGTGTGGCTTGAGCTGATTTCCATGTTCTCTTATTCCACTGATATTTATATTATCAATGATTTTTTTTCAGCAAGTTCAACATGACAAGCTAAAAGGAGGACTTGTGAGTTTGTGATATAAACTAGACCATGAAACAAAAGAAAACTTACTGCTGTAGGTCTAGGAATTCTTTCTTCTTCCCATAACAATTCAGTTCAACAAGATTGTCCTCTTTCTTAACCCTGACTGAACTGAGATTATCTTTGTCAGGGGCTCTTTCTAAGGGGTCATTTGAGTACCTTCCTTGGAAGAAGGTACTGCAACTGTATGCCTGAATAAAAAAGGACCTACATCTCTGATGGGCTAGTCCTCTCTCTTGCTTCCCTCCTTCATCCAGCCTTTCTCTTCCCCATCCCATATTTCCCCTCCCCATATACCAGAGGGGATTACCTGTGGATTCACAGTAGCCTGGAAGCGGCAGAAGTGGGTTGTTGCTGCTGGCTGGGTTTATGGCTGGGACTGGGTAATTTGCCCAGTTCCTATATATAATGACTTGGGGAGAAAGAAAAACAGTAAAAGGCTAGGAAATAATCCCAAAAAAAGGATTAAAGGCAGACATTCTTTGTTTACAAAGTAGATGAATAAGGGATATGATTAAGGAATAAGTTAAGCCGGGATAACTAGCTCACATGGATGAGCAGTGGATGCTACATGACCAAAACACAGTGAGCTTTTAGCTGATTGGGTCGGGGGCTCTTTTCTACCAGCCCCTGTAGCAGAAAATTCAGTCCTTAAAAAGTCAACCTTTACTTTTGCCAAAGAATGTGAAAGAACTGTGCTGTAATCAAACACGGGACTCCCTCCCATCTCCTGGGGTGGTTTAGTTAGAAAAGCCCCATCTTCCCAGTTACCTTTTCATCTGTTTTAAGCCATCATCTGCATTTTACTGAAATCAGAAGCAAAGCTGGTCAGGGCCAGATTTTCAAAAGGCCTCAGCTTCAACATGGGCTCATGAAGGAAGTGCCACTCCACCTGTCAGCTCCCACTTTGGAAATAATGAAAGGTCCTAAATTGGAGCTGAAGGTTTTTGATTCCAAAATGTCCTGTAAGCCACACTGCTCAATGTCAGCACAGCACCTGTTGTCCCTGCCCACATCTTCTCTTCTCAATCTCAAGAGACCCTTGAGAGCAACAAAAATAAAAATAAAAAAAAATAAAAGGGACAATATAAAGAGGGCAGCTGTTTTAACTGACTAGCTGAACATGAACCAGTAAGGAGAACCTCCTCCTTATCCAGCCTAAAGAAGGCCAGTGTCCCAGAAATTATTTCAGGGGTGATATACACTCTTCTCTTGCATTAAATCAACTCTACCAGTCCTTTGCTGTAAATCAGTACAAAATACACACTCTTTCAAAGAGCTAGAAGAATAAGCCGCTGGTCTGAGCAGCCGGGTGCCGTGCTCATGCACTGCTTTGCAACGGAATGAGTTTAATCCTCCTTTGGGGTTTCTGGTTTCCCACTTTGGGCATATCCTCTATGCCCGGGGGAGCTTGTTGCCTGGATGTCTCGCTGCATTATACACAGTATATTACACAATTAAGTACTTTGTAGATACGTGAGTTGGCTCAGGAATGAGAAGTTCATGGTACCTTAAGAAGAGCTGTGTATTAGCTCGATGGTTTTATTTTTAGACCTTGTCAAGCTTATTTAGAGCTAGCTCAGCTATCTTTATGTGGGTTTTTTATTGTGTTTTCGTTATACCTCTAGAAATACTTACTTTATACAGTTCACTGTGGGTTCATCAAATTAGTTTGTTCACTGACCAGCTACTTGAGAAATTCTGTCCAAACCCCTAATGGAAATCTGGAAGAGCCTGATATTTTCCACATTAGCTCTGTTCCACGGCACGTAGAGCCTCTGTCATCCCCTCAGCTCCGCTCAGTCCCACTTAATGACACTGAATTCTGGCTTAGCATTATTAGTTATCTCTTGTCTTCTGCTTCTCATGCTGTCTTTTTGTTTGAAGTAGTGTATGATTTGCCTGCCCAGACTTTTCCGGTCTCTTCCTGGTAAAGATCTATCTTGCAGGTCAAACTCTAAGAGTTCAAACTCTATCTGCACAACAGGGAAGATATACTGATATTTGGGTTTAACTTTTGGGTCACACGTAAAGTCATATTGATTCCAGGAAGGGGTTGTAACTGACTTTACTGTGACAACAAGCATAAAGGCTTGGGGATATCTACAGTGGGAAAATTAGTGACCTTTTTTACAGCATAAGTATCACTTACCCTTTGGCCATGTAGTAAGCTGTAACATAAACTGCTCCCTTGAAGGCAATGGCTTAGCAAGGAGATTTAGGCTACACATTGGTATCAGAATCTAATTCCAGGGTGAGCTAGGTCTTGTAGATACCTTTAGCTTGGGTTTCCTTCACAGGTTTAATTTCAGTATATTAGAACACAGGTTCATGCTGTTAAACTGCATAATTAATGTCAGCATAAAAGTAAAGAGCATGAACGTAGGCTTTCGCCTACTAGACTGGACATGTGATTCATTTAAATCAGGTAACTTGTCTCTATAACAGGTGGTGAAAGACACTGGAGATGGAAGCACAGATTTTAGTGCATTAAGAGAAAAAAAAACTTACTCTGAGCTTCCAGAAGATAGACTGGCTTATTTCCATCTGGAATAATACACAGTAACTGGTCTCTGGCATGTAGGTGCTGCAGTACTGACTGTTCTAGAGAAATCTAAGAGGTTTTATTACAATCAGAAAATCTTCTTGATGGTGAAATGGTCTGTTTCCTTTCATCCTATGGCTCTAGGAAGACCGTTCAGAAAGGAAGACTTATGGATTTCACAAGCACGGTCATCATCCCGCTGCTTTTTGGCAGCTTGGGGATCTTTGCCGTCTTTCGGCTGCTGCAGTGGATGCGGATGCGAGCTTACCTCCAGGAAGCTGTGGTCGTGGTCACAGGGGCTACCTCTGGCCTGGGAAAAGGTAGGTACCGAAGGAAGGGCCCCAAAGGTAGGATAAGGAGAGGGTTGTGGAAGGGGCACCTATCAGGATAAAGCAGTGATGAGATGAAAGATCCAGTTGCTCTGAATTTGGAGAATCATACCTTGCACAGCCCTCCGATAGCCAGCCCAAAATTTGATGCAAGAAAATCTCAAAGTTTGTTGAGGAAAATCTTAATTGTGCTGTGTAAAATGGAGCTCATCATGGCAAGGAGCAAGTTGTGCTGTTCTTGTGCTGTCAGGGGTCTTTTTTCTAAATCCTGAAAAAGCCAGGAAGTTAAATTAATTCTCTCAAACTTCCCAGAACTGGTGTTCTGCATTCATGTTTGTTGTATTTCCAGATCCCCTGCCCTAATTTCCACTCTTTCTCCCTACCCCTCACCCCACGTTAAGGTACCTTTCCTCTTTTGATACAAATTCTAAATTCAAACTCTCGCCAACATTAACACCAGTGAGTAATTTTTCCTAAATAAAAACACAGAGGCTTTTTTTTTCAAATAAAATATGTTCTTTTTGTGAATTGATTTGTTCTCTAATTATGCTTTCTATAATTGCTTCAAAAGCTTCTTGAGGAGAAGACAAGGTGCTCTCTGCTATCAAGGCCTTTCATTAGGATGAGTACACTCATAGAACAAATAGCTTAAACTGATGCTGGTTTTGCATGTGCGTTTGTCGTTGAAGGCAGTGCTGTTCAGTAACTGAATGTCCAAAGGAGATAGAATCATAGAATTAGGTTGGAAGGGACCTTTAAGATTATCTAGTCCAACCATCCACCTAACTCTGATAAAAAACCGTCACTAAACCACGTCACTAAGCCCTATGTCAGCCTGTCTTTTAAATACCTCCAGGGATGGTGCCTCAACCACTTCCCTGGGCAGCCCTTCCAAGGCTTAATAACCCGTTCGGTGTAAAACCTTTTCCTAATCTCCAATCTGAACCTCCCCTGGTGCAACTTGAGGCCATTTCCTCTTGTCCTGTTGCCTGTGTCTTGGGAGAAGAGACCAACCCCTGCCTCTCTACACCCTCCTTTCAGGTAGTTCTAGAAAGTGAAATGGTCCTCTCTGCCTGTCACAACAAAAGAGCTGGGAGTGGTAAAAGAATTTGTATTTCACATTAAGAAGAGATAGAACTGGTATCTCGGGAGGGACTTTCCAGCTGTGATAGGCTGGGCAGATGAAGCACTGTGTGGTGTTGGGTATAGATTTCCACCATTGTACAGTGAAGTTTCCTCCCTTACTGACTCATTGGCAAGATCTTACACTAGCATAAGTATCACTTACCCTTTGGCCATGTAGTAAGCTGTAACATAAACTGCTCCCTTGAAGGCAATGGCTTAGCAAGGAGATTTAGGCTACACATTGGTATCAGAATCTAATTCCAGGGTGAGCTAGGTCTTGTAGATACCTTTAGCTTGGGTTTCCTTCACAGGTTTAATTTCAGTATATTAGAACACAGGTTCATGCTGTTAAACTGCATAATTAATGTCAGCATAAAAGTAAAGAGCATGAACGTAGGCTTTCGCCTACTGGACTGGACATGTGATTCATTTAAATCAGGTAACTTGTCTCTATAACAGGTGGTGAAAGACACTGGAGATGGAAGCACAGATTTTAGTGCATTAAGAGAAAAAAAAACTTACTCTGAGCTTCCAGAAGATAGACTGGCTTATTTCCATCTGGAATAATACACAGTAACTGGTCTCTGGCATGTAGGTGCTGCAGTACTGACTGTTCTAGAGAAATCTAAGAGGTTTTATTACAATCAGAAAATCTTCTTGATGGTGAAATGGTCTGTTTCCTTTCATCCTATGGCTCTAGGAAGACCGTTCAGAAAGGAAGACTTATGGATTTCACAAGCACGGTCATCATCCCGCTGCTTTTTGGCAGCTTGGGGATCTTTGCCGTCTTTCGGCTGCTGCAGTGGATGCGGATGCGAGCTTACCTCCAGGAAGCTGTGGTCGTGGTCACAGGGGCTACCTCTGGCCTGGGAAAAGGTAGGTACCGAAGGAAGGGCCCCAAAGGTAGGATAAGGAGAGGGTTGTGGAAGGGGCACCTATCAGGATAAAGCAGTGATGAGATGAAAGATCCAGTTGCTCTGAATTTGGAGAATCATACCTTGCACAGCCCTCCGATAGCCAGCCCAAAATTTGATGCAAGAAAATCTCAAAGTTTGTTGAGGAAAATCTTAATTGTGCTGTGTAAAATGGAGCTCATCATGGCAAGGAGCAAGTTGTGCTGTTCTTGTGCTGTCAGGGGTCTTTTTTCTAAATCCTGAAAAAGCCAGGAAGTTAAATTAATTCTCTCAAACTTCCCAGAACTGGTGTTCTGCATTCATGTTTGTTGTATTTCCAGATCCCCTGCCCTAATTTCCACTCTTTCTCCCTACCCCTCACCCCACGTTAAGGTACCTTTCCTCTTTTGATACAAATTCTAAATTCAAACTCTCGCCAACATTAACACCAGTGAGTAATTTTTCCTAAATAAAAACACAGAGGCTTTTTTTTTCAAATAAAATATGTTCTTTTTGTGAATTGATTTGTTCTCTAATTATGCTTTCTATAATTGCTTCAAAAGCTTCTTGAGGAGAAGACAAGGTGCTCTCTGCTATCAAGGCCTTTCATTAGGATGAGTACACTCATAGAACAAATAGCTTAAACTGATGCTGGTTTTGCATGTGCGTTTGTCGTTGAAGGCAGTGCTGTTCAGTAACTGAATGTCCAAAGGAGATAGAATCATAGAATTAGGTTGGAAGGGACCTTTAAGATTATCTAGTCCAACCATCCACCTAACTCTGATAAAAAACCGTCACTAAACCACGTCACTAAGCCCTATGTCAGCCTGTCTTTTAAATACCTCCAGGGATGGTGCCTCAACCACTTCCCTGGGCAGCCCTTCCAAGGCTTAATAACCCGTTCGGTGTAAAACCTTTTCCTAATCTCCAATCTGAACCTCCCCTGGTGCAACTTGAGGCCATTTCCTCTTGTCCTGTTGCCTGTGTCTTGGGAGAAGAGACCAACCCCTGCCTCTCTACACCCTCCTTTCAGGTAGTTCTAGAAAGTGAAATGGTCCTCTCTGCCTGTCACAACAAAAGAGCTGGGAGTGGTAAAAGAATTTGTATTTCACATTAAGAAGAGATAGAACTGGTATCTCGGGAGGGACTTTCCAGCTGTGATAGGCTGGGCAGATGAAGCACTGTGTGGTGTTGGGTATAGATTTCCACCATTGTACAGTGAAGTTTCCTCCCTTACTGACTCATTGGCAAGATCTTACACTATTCCCCTCACTCCCAGTTATTAATATACTAGACCACTTGTAATGACTGTGTGTTTTTAAACACCCTTCGTTATCATCCCCTGTCATCTCTTGCACAAATAAGCAATTTGTCTCGCTGGGTCACAGAGGGGTAGGGCAGAAGAACATGCAATTGCCTCAGCAGCTGGTAGTGCTGAAAGGAAGACAAGAGCATGGCATCCCTTCAGCCTTTTCCTGATGAAGAACATCACCTTGATGAAGCCATTAGCTCCAAGGCTTCCAAAACCTTTGGAGGTGTTCACTAAAACCAAAACGTCCAAGACCAAGCCTCAGTGCATCAGATGACATACACAAGGTAACTGTACTCCCTCTCAGGAGGGGTATATAGTCAAAAATTAAGAGGCACAGGCAAATTCAACCAGCTGATGGGGGAGGATGCATACACAGCACAATAACTGCATAACCAGCACCGTGACTGTGAGCACACCAGCTGCCTCACCGCTGTCACGTGCCCGTCAGAGTCACAGGAAATCTTGCTGCCACTTCACTGTAAATCAGGCTATCACCACACCAGCTGCCTCACCGCTGTCACGTGCCCATCAGAGTCACAGGAAATCTTGCTGCAGCTTCACTGTAAATCAGGAGTAATAAAGTCACCTTAGATCTTCACCAGCTATAAAAAGTTTTAGCCTATCACCAGATACGATGGGGATCTGCTGTTTGTCTCCATCATTCAAATACCTACTTTTTCTCTTTTCCTTGCTTCCTCCAAAGAATGTGCAAAAGCCTTCCATGCAGCTGGCTCCAAGCTGGTGCTCTGCGGCAGAGACAGCGAGAAGCTCAAAGACCTGGTGCAGGAGCTTTCTACCATGACCAATCACCGAAAGAACGTAAGTGGGGGAGGAGGAGAGGCTCCTTGTCTCGGGTGGCTGGGATTTCTGTTCATGTTATTACAGAAATTACAGAATGGCTTGTGCGTTGAGCAACAGGAAAAATGCAACTCTGTGGTTAGGGATACACATTGGTACAGGAGTACTTGGAGGTGACGTCATATCTCGTAAAAACCCTACAAAAATAAGCCAGCTGAAAGACTATTTGCCTTGTAATAGAAGTGAAAGCACAGGAGAGTGCAGTGCCCAGACCCCCTTGCATCTGTATATCATGTGCTGAATCTGGAAAAGCGACTCTCCTTGTGTTGTCTTGTATTTTTGATGTCTAATTCTGCTGACAGTGGCTAAAAAAAGGTATTACTGGCTTCTAAAGAAGACGTTATTTAAGTTTTTTACTATTTTTTTTACTTCTTTAATAATACTGTAGCAAACTTTACTACTTGAGGAAGATCTCACTTGCCCCTTTCCTACGCTTTGGTGTAAGGAACAGGTTACAGGAGCAGAGAAAGATGAGAACACAACCTGCTTCTACCACGTGTTCCTACCAAATGGAACTACCAGAGTCTAATTGCACAAGGTTTGGGTGGTCCCACTTCTGTGCTTCCAGAGCTGGGAAATCCCATCGTAAGTGTGAACATGCAGCACATTCAGCACAGCCTGAACTGGTCTTTTGCCAACTTTTGTTTATTCACAGACACACAAACCTCACACTGTGGTGTTTGACCTCTCGGATACTAAAACTGTCCTAAACGCTGCTGAAGAGATCCTGAAGTACTTGGGTCACGTGGACATCCTCATCAACAACGCAGGCATCAGTTTCCGAGGCACAATCGTGGACACAGGACTGGATGTGGACAAGAAAGTGATGGAAACAAATTACTTTGGTCCTATAGCCCTCACCAAAGGTACCCGTGAGCCAGATGACAAGGGGACAGTGGATTTGGCTGATACTTTCTGCAGCCAACACAACTAAGCACAGCTTCAACTTCCGTTTGTAATTGGGTTTGATACAGTAGAGTGTAAGAGAGGAGGAAAGTTTTATTTTATGGGCAGGCCTAAAGTTGATGCTTGGGCACGACTGCATGGGAAGTACCTGATTAGAGATATCACCTTGTTTAAAACACCTCCTGTCTCTGCTCTGGCAGGAACTTAGATGAGTGATATGGTTAGCCTGTCTGCTCTGATGAAACCCCAGAGAACGCAGTACGGGTTCAGGTGAAGCTGTAGCTTTCCTAGGAAGCTGCAGTTCCACAGAAAGTTCAGCCTGGAGCATGTCAGCTGCAGGAATTGGAAAGAGGGCTGGTGGGAGAAAAGAGCAAGTCCTGTGGGAGATCACAGCAACTCCAACAGCCTTTGAGCAGCCTCACTGGCACAAGGAACCTCCCGAGAGGGGAATGTCCCAGCCAGGCTGCAGCTTCAGTTGGAAGCATCCTGAGCACTATCCCTTGCCCAACCCTGAACGAGGACCTTGTAATTAATTCACTTTGGCATCTCTGAATTCTCTGAAAGCATTGATTCTTGACAGCAGTAATGGGGGGACTGTTATTCTGAATGGGTCTTTTCTGTCTTTTGCTAGCACTTCTCCCCTCCATGATCAAGAGGAGACAAGGCCACATTGTGGCCATCAGCAGCGTTCAAGGCAAAATAAGCATTCCTTTCAGATCTGCATGTAAGTACCTCCACAGAAGATGGGGAAGACATATTTGGGGCAGCGTACTGAATGAATACTTGGCTACTGCTTCCACATTTAGCTCTCTGTAGAGCTGGCTTCATGCAGGTGAATACTTGGCTACTGCTTCCACATTTAGCAGAGAAGGCAGAGCTGTGCATCATTCTTAACATGGTCACAAATCACTGACAGCTGTTGAGGAAGGCACTCTCAAATGTAAAATCTTAGCCCTGTCCTAAAGTTAAGGGATAGAAAAAGAGTCTATGTTTTCAGTGTCTTGAAAATAGCTTGATATTCCTACCTCAACACTTGAGAGTCCCTATAAACTTTCTGATTAATTCCATAATTTTATTGCATTTTATCCTTGCTGTTTGCCTGGTTCATTTCCTATAAGAAAGTAGGAACTTTTTGTTTTAATAAGTTGTGAAGTGCCATAGTACAACCGAAATCAAAATAAAAGCCTAAACAGTTACCTTGATCCAACAAACTCTTCATGCTATATCAGGTATGACAAGAAATAATATTGGTGAGATTCCTGGAAAAAGCCTTATAGCAGAGGAACTAAAAGGAGACTGGCGTACAAGCATCTGTAAATCACTGAAAATAAACGTAAAAACGGAAGAATACAGCGAGGGTGGCATAAGAGTGAGGATGAAGAGTAAAGGAGAACCTGGAATGCCTGGGCCATCTGGTCTTGAAGATGATGGGAGTACAATTGCACCAAGAAATGTCTTCTGAAGAGCTTCCAGGCTGCTTGTGGTGCCCAGAGCCATGTGTGCCCAGCAGTGTGGAGCTCAGCTCCTGCCTAGGCCCTCATCCTGCCCTATGCTCTGCCCTGCTGGTGCCAGCCCTGCGGCCGTGCCGAGGTGACAGCAGTCACAGCAGGAGTGACCAAGTACATGTGGAAAGGGAGCGAGCAAAAGGAGTCGCTCAGCCGTTTAAGAGGGGGAAATCCTGCCCTAGGCCACACTTCTCTGCCTCTCTCTGCTCGTGTGATCAGGTTCTGACTTGTGAGCAGCCGAGCTCTGAACCTGCTCTGCCAGTCCCTGCTGCTCGGTGCGCGAAGGCCGGGAGCCACCGTCAGCTCTGCCCTCCTCTGCCGGCACCGCGCTCCCCCAGCCCGGCCCGTGAAATGCTGCCCAAACCAGGCTCCCTGTCTCCTTTATTGCGAGTGGGAGGCAGTTGGGTTGGCTCCGTAGTGCTTTAGCACGGCTGTGATACTAAGCTCAGAATGCCAGCCAGTTTCCAACTTCCCTGTCTCCTTTATTGCGAGTGGGAGGCAGCTTGGGTTTGCTCTGTAGTGCTTTAGCACGGCTGTGATGTTAAGCTCAGAATCCCAGCCAGTTTCCAACTTGGAATATTTACATTTTGCCTTCCTAAATTGCCTCTCACTCCCACTACCTGTTGCTGCCATTCACTAAAACCTAGAAGTTGGAGAACAGCTGTTGGGTTCTTGCCCAGAATTGGCTGCATTGCCATGAAAAACCCATTCAGGGGAGTGAATCTTCCTTCAGCTGCTTCTCCTTAGTGCACAGTCCTTCTCCTGTTTTGCAGATGCTGCCTCTAAGCACGCTACCCAGGCCTTCTTCGATTGTCTACGAGCAGAGGTGGAGCAGTATGACATTGATGTGACAGTTGTAAGCCCTGGATACATTCAGACCAACCTCTCTCTCAATGCTGTAACAGCAGATGGATCTCGCTATGGAGGTGAGATACGATTTTCCACCCTATACCTGAAGCATCTCCACCTCCCTGAGTTACTCCAAAGTGCACTTGCAATGTATGGTCTCTGGTGAGGACACAGCTTAGCCCTGAAGTATCAAAAGACAACTTTGGATGCAGAGTAGAAACAGTAACCCCAAAATTTAGACTTCCTAGATAGCGATTACTGACTTATCGCCCAACCATGAATTCTACCTGCCTGTGCTCCCATATGGTGTAAGAAACAAAACCATACAAACAGCCACAAATAGTCACAACAGAGCATTCCTAGGAAAGGTACCTAAGTGTGGGCTTACCTGCTGGCACTGGTGTTTACTGGGCTTTCCTTTGGCAGTTATGGACAAGAACACCGCCGAAGGACAGACAGCCGCAGAGGTCGCTCAGGTGGTTCTCAACGCGGTGGGACAGAAGAAGAAGGAAGTCCTTGTAGCTGGCCTGACACCCTCGCTGGCTGTCTACCTGCGAAACATCTTCCCCAGGCTCTTCTTCACCTTAATGGCAACTAGAGCAAAAAAGGAGAGAAAAGCAAAGGACTCTTAGAGCTCAGCTCATCCGAGCAGTAACTGTAGGGAGAGGCTGACCCCCTGCAGTTTGGCTGGGACATCAGCGGAGGTGCTCCTGCAGGAAAAAAAAACAAAACCTTTCTCAAAATGCTGCAGTTGACCATTGCATGGGGAGTGGGAAGTGGTTTCTCCCACATCAAGGCAGGTCCACTAGCTGGAAGACAGCACCTAAACCTCCCCTGGAGAAGGGTGCTTGGACAAAAGGAGAGCTGAGGCTGCACGGGAGGGTAACTCAAGGGAACACACTTTGCAGCAGGGGAGGCCCATGTGCTGGAAGACAGCACCTCACCTCACTCCAGGTACACTCAGCTTTAATGCCCTGCTACAAATAAAACCCACCTGGTTTGCCTTCACACAAGCAGATCTCAGCTTTCCCCACCCCACGGCCCCTGTGAAACACAGTCCTCAGCTGGGAGCTCTCGTGATCACTGTCTCCTTCCCACTCCTTCCAAGCTGATCCAGAACGTGTTGCTTGAAATGGGAAACTTCACAGACCCTCTGCTTGTTAACGCGCCAAATCGTCGGAGATGTTAATACAAAGTTGAGTGCCACTTTTAAAGAAGTAACTGATGTAAAATATAAGTCTTATTTGCCAATTATTTGATCTGTCTGAATCATGCCTTATTGACACGCAGGGTACGTTTGACTCTGTACTACCTGACAGTGTGGGATTAACCCCAGCTGATGCAGGGAAGGACTGAACAGATGGAAAACAGCACAACAGGGTATTTCTACACAAATACTGGTGTGTGGAAATACCCTGCAGCTGATGGTGGCACACCCGTGCACCTGCAGGCCTACAGCACAGAGAAGGTGCATTTCCATAGATGCCAGGCAAGCAGAGGAGAATCTGTGCACGCTGGGTGGACAGTGTAGGGACAGCCTCTTAGTTCTCATCTATTTTAAAGCAATTACAGATGCTAATTAGGATCACATCCAGTGGGGGAACGATACCCTCTTGTTCACATATCACAGGCTTCAGGGAGCACCACATTCCGTTCTTCACCCCTTCTCGTGTTGGGAGGGATACAGCTCCACTAGGAAAAAGGAGTGGCTGCACAGAGATAGTTCAGTAATCTTTTTAAACTTGTAATTCAAATAAAACCTACGAACAGAAACCCAGGTGCAGAGCCCTGCTGCTGCCTCCATGCACTTACCAGCATTTTAGCCTTCCAGTATCTGAAGGGAGCTACAGGAGAGCTGGGGAGGGACTCTGTCAGGGAGTGGAGTGACAGGACAAGGGGTAACGGTTTTAAATTGGAAGAGAGGAGATTTAGATGAGATACCAGAAAGAAATTCTTTGCTGTGAGGGTGGTGAGAGCCTGGAACAGGTTGCCCAGAGAAGCTGTGGCTGCCCCATCCCTGGAGGGGTTCAAGGCCAGGCTGGATGGGGCTTGGAGCAACCTGGTCTGGCGGGAGGTGTCCCTGCCCAGGGCAGGAGGGGGGCACTGGATGATTTTTAAGGTCCCTTCCAACTCTAACCATTCTATGATTGTGTGATTTTCCATGTGTACTGCCTTGTATGTCCTGCCTGTGAGCGCACAGCTGATGACAAATAAATCACATTGCTATGAAATCAAACCTCTGTTCTACTTCAGCTCCTCACAGCAGGTAATGTTAAAGAAGGGGAAAGCAGGAGGGGTTTGTTTTTCTTTTTTTACCCTCCTGCCAGGTACTGTTGTACGAGTAATAGATGCAGCACGACATACTTCATCCCTGTCCTGTTTTAAAGGAGACAGTGTGAATCCACACAGGGAATCAGTCACACTGAAACTGATACAGGTGCGCAGGCTCAGCAGGACCTTCTTCACAACGCCTTTTCCTGACCACGACAGATTCATAAAGGGTCTCTGAGAATCCACCCCAGATGCTGACCAGGCCGTGTTTAATCACCGCGATGCTGCTGCTCGGTTGGGACATCCTCTGCCACTTCCACCGTGGCTGAGGTTGCAGATTCGTTACATAAAAGACCTAGGGTTGAAATTAAAGATGAAGCTTTCAGGTGTCTGTATCTCTTTTACCTGCTAAGGTCGGAAACCAAGACGTTACCTTCTCTCCCTTGCCACAAGGGGAGTTTCTTTCAGTGTTGTGCTTTTCCTTTTGTGTTTTCCATGTTCAGCTCCTCCGTTTCTTGGCAAAACACAGCACTGCTGCCAGCCCTGTCCAGCTGCTCCTTCTGCTGATTCAGGTCACGGCCACCCAGGAAGGACCGAGGAGCCACTTTGTGTTTCTGTGTTATCATCCAGGGAGCTGAGGGGCAGAACACATCAGGCCTGAGGAAAAAAAATTGCACGTGGAGAGTTACTGTAGTTACTGCTTGAACTACAGCTCCCAGTCAGAGGTGACCGAGTGTGCACGTTCCCCTTTGAAAGTAAATTCCCTGTGATGAGGGGACTGTAGCTTGTCCCCAGCGCTGGAACCCTTGAGCTGCCGACCCTCAGGACCCCTCTCATTCCCCCAGCTCACTGTGCATCGTTTCAGCACTGACTTATTAACAGCCAGGGCATCACCAAGCATTTTGGTTAGATTATCACTAATATTTCTTGGAAAACAAGCTCCCCAACCCCCCATCTATGTCCTCTCCACCTCAGACCGGAGTGAAGGGCGTGTTTTTAACAGACTTACCTGTTGTGACAGCTCAGCTGACTTTTCACCTTTTCTCCTGCAATTAAGAGACCACAGGAAACTTGCTCATTTTTAACTCCAGAGTCCTTGATGCAAGGCAGGCGTTCAGGGAGCCCACCAAGGGTTACTCCTTCTGCCAGCCATCATTCCAGGCAAGGAAAAGCTTTAACACACAAACGTGCCAGGATTTGGTGAAGAAAAGGAACTAAAATCCCTCACGATTATTCAGCACTGATTAAAAAAAAAAATAAAAGCAGGAATGTCTTTTGTGTGGGCAGCAAGGATATTTTGGGGCCTCCTGCAGCCATAAAGCACACATTAGCTGTGGCAGATCTGCCACGAGTTTAAAATTCATCCAGCAGAGGGGAACTTTAGAAACAAACAATGTGAGAGCCGGGGAGGCAGCCTGCCCAGCAGTTCTTGGCCGAACCGCAGCGGGATGAAGCGGTTGCATTTCTTCCCCTCCTCTCTGCCAAGGCAACTGTACATTGTTGCTATAAATAGAGACTGGATCTGGATCCCAGCTTCTTTTAACCTTGGAGGGAGACGACTCGGCCACTGTACCGGCGAAAGAGGCAAAAGGGTTGTTGCCACCCAGAAGCGTCTCGATGCCACGGGAGTTTCCTCCAGCCCCACGTGCCTGCTCAAGGGGTAAAAGTACTTGCTCAGAGCTCCCAGTAAACCCCGTTTGCCCAGCACGCCCACGACTGGGACGCACGCCCCGCTACGGCAAAAAAGCTGCGTCAGCAGAAAAGGACGAGTTGGAAGCGCGGCTGGAAAAGCCGGCTGCAGTCGGGAGGAGAGGAGTCCTCCTCGGTGCCTGCCATTTGCAGTTTTTTGGAAAGATAAAGATAGAACTATCGAAATCGGGTTCTGACCTCCTGAGAACTCCCTTCCAAGGTCAGAGCTTCGGCTGTGGAGGTCAGACTGCCACTACCACCGAAGGAAGCGGTGCCTACACCCCTGCGCAGGCAGTTTTTATTACAGGGCTTTTGCTCTTGGGTTCAGACGGTGACGCTTGAAGCTGTGCCAAGGTGGGACCGTAAAAGCCAGCCACGCCTGCTTTCCATCTGGTAGGAGGAGATTATAGCAAGCAAACCCCTATCTTTTTAAAAGTCACCGGCAGATCTTGCAAAACAGTAAATACTTCCCATGCTAAGAACAAGATTTTGAGCTAAAAAGCTGCATTAACGCACGAGGCTTCCAAAATTTCAGATGCCACGGTTAAAAGGTGCAATGGGGTGGATGCTCTGCTGCAGCAGCAGGAGGCAGCTCCTGGAGCATGTGTTCCAAGGAAGAGCAGTGGAATTGCACAGTCGGGGCACAGCAGCAATAGCAAAGCACAAAAGTAAGGGCTGGACTCCCACCACTCCCACTCCACATTTCAGTGGAGTTAAGAAGAGCCCATCAGAAAGAACTTGTACAGGGACTGAACAGAATGTGTCTGTGGCTGGAAACTTCATGTTATCTCCATTGCGCGGAGAAATAATGGTGGGAGGTGGCTGGGCAGCAGAGGATTTGGACACCTTTAGCCTCAACCATCAGTTTAAGCAATTACCAAAAAAGATATAAATACTGGGGTAACAAGTAAGCCCTTTTCCAAGAAATACCCCTAGTCAAGAGAGAAGGCAACACCCTACGGCTATTCCTTCATCGGACGGTGAAGTAAGATGGATGCTGCTGCCACGTGCAACGGATGAGAGGAACATCAGGTCTGTGTGTGAGCATAAATAATTACCATCACTGGAGTTCTCACAGCAAAGCCTCCTTTCCTTGGAAGCACGCTATAAAAGGGAACTATGATAACAGTAACAAGAGAGCAAAAGCATTTGAAATTCTCATCCTTTAATGGTCAATGATAATTCTGGCTGGTTCTGTGTAATACAATTAAACAATATACTTAAATGTTTCCAAAAAAAAAAAAAAAAAAAAAAA